AACTAACGCCAACCATAGGCTTACATCTGCTCTCGATTATACTCAAGTGTACCGAAGTGCTTATTTAATCTGCAAAAAGAGTGCGAGTTTATTCCCAGAAGATATAACCCCCGTACTAGTATTATACGTGTAGCCACAAAGCTTAAGGAAGATCCGTTTCTAGTTTTCGTCTGGATAATGTGGCTCTAGGGCAAGGTAGGTATAACGTGCTAAAAAAACTAAGCAGGTGCATTAGGGAATGCTAGCTTGAATTTTTAAAGCAACTATTTTACTTAGCTGGCTGGGTCCGTGCAAAGACTTAAAGGAACGAAAAGTTAAGTAAGCAAGTAGAATAGGTATAAACCATCAAGAATTTTTAAAAGCTTGATGGTTATATACACACGCTCATACCGAAAATGTGCTATCCAAGTAACCCAAAACTCCAGGATTATATTCAGCTGTATGCATCCGTTTATGCTAATACGGCTTTTGTCCTATATGTGAGCATACGCTTTTAAAGTATTAATGTCCTTCTAAAGTGGACGCTCGACATATGGCACACGCAAACTTTATGTGAGTTGCTTTACCTAATAAGCTATTGTTATGCGTCCCACATACATATAAAACTATATAGCCCCGTATGAACAAAGCCGTGTATAGAGCTACTACCTAATTTATTTATGACAGATGCTATTGATCACGATATTCTGCGTTATACTACGCAGTTTTAAATTAATAGTAATAGCAATGTCAATAGCAGCTCACTCAATTTAAGATCACAACCAAATTGAAATAAAAGATAACACGTTTTTATCTCATATGTATCTATTTATCTATGTATCTATGTATCTATGTATCTATGCATCTATGTATCTATGTATCTATTATCTATCTATCTAATACCTACCTACGCGCGCATCAATCCGTCTATATACACTCATCCTGCAATACGCACGGCACTGTCTTGTAGCTAGGACGCACACATTGCTAGCTATATGTGTACCTACCTACGTGCGTATCAATCCGTCTATATTCCCCTGCTGTGGCTGTGACACGGGCTCCTATACTGTATAACGCTGCCGCTCAGATCACGGATAGTTTATCCCGAACGTGTGATGTGATGCTGTGTGCTAGCAATGCCCGACGCTGTGCCATCGTACACTCCTCTCCCTCACAAGCCGCTCTCGGTAAACAGCGAGAGTGGTGAGTATCTACAGACAAATCCTGCCGACGATTGACGTCGCCGCACCGATGCTTAGGCGACGGTCGGCACGAGCATCCACGCGCATCTCTGTAAGGTGAAGACGTCGCCACGGCCGTCGTCTCCCGGCCGCTGTTCGTGTCCCGGATGTTGCTACCGACGTTGTCGATGTAGGCGACGTCTCCGTGGCGATACTGCGTGAGCCGTCGTCAGTAGTATCGGTGGGGGGCACGTATACACGTATATAGACAGGCAGCGCGCGCGCACGCACACGCACGCTCAGCTCACATACGCAGCTGCCGAGCGCTAGCACGGAGGCTGCAGCAGTGAATGATGAATGGCGGGGATGATGCTGGTACTGATGCTGCTGCTGCTGCTGCTGCTGCTGCTGCTGCTGCTGCTGCTGCTGCTGGTACTGATGCTGCTGCTGCTGATGATACTGCTGCTGCTGCTGCTGATGATGATGATGGTACTGATGCTGCTGCTGCTGCTGGTACTGATGTTGCTGCTGCTGCTGCTGCTCCTTGTGGTGATGCTGCTGCTGCTGGTACTGATGCCGCTGCTGCTGCTGTACTGATGCCGCTGCTGCTGCTGCTGCTGACGGTACTGATGCTGCTTGTACTAATGTTGCTGCTGCTGCTGCTGCTTGTGGTGATGGTGGTGCTGCTGCTGCTGCTGCTGCTGCTGCTGCTGCTGGTGGTGGTGGTGGTTCTCTTGCTGCTGCTGATGCTGTTGGTATTGATGCTGCTGCTGCTGCTGCTGCTGATGGTACTGATGCTGCTGCTTCTGCTGCTGCTGGTGTTACTGGTGTTGCTGCTGCTTCTGCTGCTGCTGGTGTTACCGCTGCTGCTGCTGCGTACCGCTAGGCCAATACGGGGCCAGATGGGGTTGAATATACAGTCAGCTGATCAGCGCGGCTGTGGTCAATAAACTGCAGCAGCAGCAGCAGCAAGAGTTGGCGGAGAGTGTTCTCTCGTAAAATCTAGCGAATTGATGGCGATATCAGCGGCAGCCGCGCGTGTGAGTGATGAGAGACACGCACGGCGTCGCCGCGTGAGTAAATGCTTGTAATATTCGTCGCGCAAATCACGTCTACTATAGCCTACGAGAGAGGAAAATGGCTATTCGAGTTTTCATCGCTCGCTTTTAGAAAAATTCACGACGGCGGCTGTCACTGCCGTTAGGTCACGCTGTGGTGTGACGTATGCGCCCCCCCCCAGATAGATAGATAGATAGATAGATAGATAGATAGATAGACAGTTGCGCCTGCTCGAATCCCACGGGTTAGGAATCTATATCAACTCCAGCCTGCATGCTTCAGTGCAGGCTGCAGCAGGGAGCGACCGTGAGATAAATCTCGGTGACAACAGCAGACGCATCTCTCTAGAGTGATCGCGAGGAAGCGTCAAGTAGCGAGCCCTCATTGATCGCCTAGCTCTCTATGCACACATGACTGTGAGCAGCGCGATGGGGGGCGCCACACGTCGACATCCGGTGAGCAAGTGGCTCAGCGCCTCCCCAGCGAGTCTCCTTCCACTCATGCGGATAGCAGTACGATCATCAATCCTGCGGGGGTGTCGCGCGTGTCCCGCACACAAAAGAACCACAGCGCTAGCGCACACCGGGTGGTAGAGCAGCACTCTAGCTAAAAGCCTGTCCTCGCTGGGGAAGTATGGTCATTAGGATGCTAGGTGCTTTGCAGGTTTCCCCGGCTAGCATCGGAAGACGCTGTCAGCTTCGCGGCTTCGTCGACGACATCGTACAGTATGATTCTACATAAATCACCGCCATATTGATTTAACCGCCGCCTAAGCAGGAAGCGGAGGAACGCCCGCCTTCCTGTCCAACCCGCGGATACAATAAACTCAGGCACAGGCTCTGCATGATGAGCCATAGGGTACAATTTACCTGTCAAGGTCTAAGATATGTGTCCGGGGTTTAGCAGATTACGTTACTACCTTGTTTATTGACATCAGCTCCCGCGTGTTCACTTGCGTTGTACTTACCTTGAAAGAGGATTTCGTTTCTAGAAACTACGCACAACAGTGATGCTGTGTTAGGTTCGTTGCTATGACCTTTAGCATACTATAAGCCTACCGAAAAGTCAAAATAACGCGGATGGGAAGGATTCGCACCGGTAAATACAATGTCTATGGCTGTATGAGTGGAACAAATGACAAAGGAATATTCACCGACCCACCCATGAAATACTAGAGCGGTTTGCCGTCAATATGAAATTATTCAAGGATCGTCTGATATGGACAGGCACTCTCTGCGGGAACCCGTGTTTGCCTGCGATCTTTTCTCTCCCCGCCTATTCGACATCCTACTTATCACGAAATTAACTGTGGTGATACTGACGTACTATCTATGTGACTCTGTTGGTCACTACCACGTCGTTCAATCCTAACCGATTACTTCGATTTTCGCGTCAATTTCTTCAACTAATATCTTGAAACGCAGGACAGCAATTATGGCCACATCACGCGCATGCGTGCTTAGTTCACGTGCACACACGAATGCAGCCGTCGGGACGAAATTGGTCACCCAATTAGCGAAAGAGATGAATATAGATATTAATACTCATTCCTAATGGGAGGCCGATTAACGCTGTGATAGGACCACGGACCGATAGTTCAGGGAATCCTGTCGGTGGACTTCCTGTACGAATCCAAGTAACAGCGTGAGTAGAGAGGATTAGCTCGTGTAGCAGAAGTAATTCACTGCGTAGAAAATAAATCGTTATATACTCGTGATACCCGCGTGTAAGAAGTGTAGGGATTCACGTGCATGCACGCTTTACGTCCGCAGAACAAATTCTGATTAAGTTTTGCTCACGCTAGGATTTTCACTGCGTAATATAGCCGGAGCTTTCATTAAAATTCCGGGACCATGTGATCGCGTGCATTTATGAGGAAGAAAATTACCATGTATAGAAGCTCGTTTACATGCTCAGAAATAATTAAAGACTCATTTATGTACTTATTATCAGGAGTCTGACTGAGATTTTCACGCGTTGTACGACAGTGTTATATCTCTGTCATATGAGTCTATTACTTTTCATAAAAAATAGCAGATGTAGGAAGAATACATCCGGACATCAACGATATACATCCGAAACGGATGTACACTGGGAAGCGGCAGCCAATTATGCAGGCATACAGAAGTCAGCAGAGACAAAATGACGGATGGAAAGACAGATAAAGCAACCGATGAAGGACAGAGAGGTGGATAGACAAAGCTAAAAACATTTAAGTAGCACACCGCGATAGAGACAAACACAAAATAACCACACATAGGGTTAAACGTACCAAACATACCAATTATATTGTTTTAGTTGGATACTCGACTATAGTTTCACATGGGCAGATTCTTTCCTAACGGCTACTCTTTCCGGACTCTGTAAAAAGCTCAATGCTGGCATTATCGTCCAGGGATGGAAACGCTAGCAATTTGCTAAAAGGGAAAATACATCTCTGACTATGCAGTAAGTAAAACCCACCACTTGAAAGATGGGTAGGCAAACTTTTTTACGAGCGTTCGCGCCACAAGTATGTCAAGGCTGGACAGAATTATGTAGACCACACCATGGTCTTCTACTATTAGAAGGCCACAATACTCCGTGCTCATATACCGCTCGCTTCACTGGCTGCGGTTATACAAATTAACCACGCAATAACAAGCCTCCGAAAACTTCCTGTCCCGTTAAAATGGCGAGTCAAATTGATAATGGGTTGCGAATAATAACCCGAAGCAAATTACATTAACAGCACGCGCGTGTTATTAAAACCTGCTGAATAACTATGGTTGCAAAACTCACCAGGCTTTCCTTCCCTCGGCGATGTCCAGAAATTATGTATGCTGAACACTGTATGCTAGCGACTGTTGGTTGTAAAACGTCTAACCACTGCACCATGCATTCCTGTAAACATTGACGCACGGTACTATGTAATAACGTCAGCACTGATGACTACTGTCACGTCCTTGAGTTTCACGCAATGTCATTTGCATACGTGCGATTCATTGTCATCCACATGTGGCTAATCGTAATAAGAATTGAATTCATCATCAAGTTAAAATCAAAATTAAAACCCAACTTTGAATCTACCCATCCATCTATCCATCCATCCATCCATTCATCCATCCATCCATCCATCCATCCATCCATCCATCCATCCATCCATCAGTTCGCCCGTCCGTCCATCCATCCATCTTATAGGATATTGTTTCGATTTAAGATAAGTTGAGAATAAACTAGTGCAATTATGTTCCGCTAAGAGAGCGTAAGCACGGTAGCGCTTCAGCTGTATATTAAGCAGGCGGCTTGCTGCGTCGTCCTTAGCCGGGCTGTGGCAGTAATATACGTCCAGCTGTTTTACAGATTGCATCGCTCGTTTTAGGGCACGGGCGGGTTTACCCATAGTAAACATCCTAAGCAGTCGATCGGTCAGTTCACTCAATATATGCAGCGGGATTGATTGTTTGGTGCGTAAGAAACTGTCTGTACATAGTATAGGTGGCGATAGTGTTTTTGTTCCACCGCCCATTAAATTGAGCAAGAGCTAATAATACCCTTATTAGCTCTCATAGGTATTATTTATTAGGTAATATTAGCTCTTGATATCAGGCGTCTTAATTCCCCCCCCCCCATACTGATCCCCATTTAAATCCCAAGTCGTTCACAACTGCCCGTAATGTGCGTGAATAGATTTTTCCGCGGCTGTGGGTGTCTATACGCAATGTCATTTCAGCCCGCGACGGGTTAGCTTCCATCACCTGGCTAGAGTTGGATGGCTATAGAATCAATCGCTTTCTGCTCAGCGTATCGCACACAGATTGTACCATCGCGTCTTTACACACTTTACACTCACTATCCGTGAGACGGTGCATCACGACCCTAGCCAGGATCGACGTGGCTCGATCTATACGTGCGCGCGATCGGTGAATTCGTCCCTATTCAAGCTGACCCCTGCTTCCACGCACGCACACACGCACGCACGCACGCACGCACAGAGACACGCACGCACGCAGACACGCACAGAGACACACGCCCGCACACACACACGTACGCACACATGCACGCACAGGGACACGCACGCCAGCAGCTATATAATCCCTGATCATGAGGCGAACACCATTGTAAAATGCTTTCGTGTATGCGCTGAAAGCGTGAAATGCGATGCGATGGTGATGATGCCAGCATCTCGTGCGATGTGCAGCAATGCGCTGTTGTTTTTTTCCATCTCGGCATGGTCCCGCGGGAGATGCGAGGACGCTCGCAGCTGCTTCTGTGCTAACACATGAGGAGGAGGAGGAGGCAAGGGTGCACGCTAGCCACGCGGCTTCTCCTCCACCGCCCGTCGACCGAGCACAGCGGTCAAACGTGAGGGTGAGGGGTGTGTGTATGCAGGGTACCCCGGACAGAGGGTTTCTGGCATCAGTCTCCCATATACATACGTATAGTACGTGTATATATTCGTCAAAATACTCGTCATTTGAATAGGTACTGGGCATAAGTAATATGTTTTCAGTTTTTCCCAGGCGAACTATATTCGCGCATATAAATTTTCCCCCGTGATCGTTCTGACATACCTAGCATTCATTACTCCAGGATCCATACTACTTTATCGGTATGGTGCACTGACAGCATCACTGGTTCAAATATAGGAAAAGTAAATAGTAGAGGAACGGATATTGGTTTCTATATTGAACGAGCTTTTGAATAGGGATGACGTCAGATGATATAGCAAAACTCGCATGGATGCGATGCATGGCGGACTAAACACAACACCTCGCGCACGCATACAGCCCGTCCTATCGATGATGGTTTCATCTGATAATTTCTTCCAGCTTCGACACGTCCGTCGTTGTTATAGCAAAGATATTGCAAAGTCATGGAAATTGGCGCCCATTTTGGATTCATGCAAATTATGCAAATTGCCGTGGGATGATTTCTTAGGACTTTTAGTATGTTGTTCTGGAGACTTCACTGAAACGCACTGCCGTGAAATAATTTCTGTTGCTTTTTTTTCACGCTCAAATGCTAGATTTCCTGGACTATGTTGGTTGTGCATAAAAAAACATGCGCATATTTATGAGAATATACTTCGTTTTATTGCTGGGTATAAAGCTCCAATGGTCCTACTCAAACATGCAGCGTATATATATACTCCTCATACATAGTTGCTGCTGAATCACCCCCGGATGGAGTGTTCAGATTACCTCACGCCTAGATAATATGCGGAGACGACCTCTCTCCCAGATAGATGGTAGAGAGAGAGAGAGAGAGAGCTCCAGTATGTTGAATAGGCGCATACCGAATATATCACTATTCGACATGCGAAGCGCTTTTGCATGTCGACTAGTAAAAAAATATCTGCAGAAAAGTCTATAATTATCCTATACGACATGGCCACGGAACAGGTTGATAGTCGGTTATGGCTCTAGACTGGCTCCGAGTCGCTACGTGCAATCGTGCTTACGCGTAATTAGAGCTCGCGTTAAACGACTTTGTGCTAGTCTACGCTAGATAAAAGTGGCGTTTATTCGGCATTTCCAAGCAAAGAAATTTATTTGACGTTTAAGGAGCTAATGCGTAGGAACTCTGTAGCCGTGACTTTTATTTTCTAATACAGCAGCTCACATGGACTTAACACAACATATTACTTTCTGAATATGAGTATATTATAGCACTACCATAGTACACTAGTATATAGCACTACCAAAACATAATATTAGAGCGAATATGTGTGCGTGGATGTGCGTGGATGTGTGGGTGCGCGTGGAGGTAACTGAGTAGTAGTGAAGGTGTGTTATATCTACCCACCTACGGTTTGTAACAGAGGTGACTGGGTTGGGTGGTTAGCTGAGAGCGTGGGGTGGGGTTGGGGTGGACGACAGCTATAAAGGTTCACGACCTGATATCCTGTCACCATGCAACGATGCCCTTATATTGTCATCGCTTACATCGTTAACGCGTTGATCGGGTTTTTAACGATATACTATTAAATTATTGATTAGCTACACAGCATGATCGTGCAAGATTTCATATTGAAGCACAATTAAATAACTCCAGCAAAACAGTTCAAAACAGTCCGCCCCATGAATGCCCGTTATTGCTGCATGCACACAGAGGACATCTGGTGGGAAGTGCGAGTCAAGACACGTCCCTTGAGCAACACACTGGTAATTCGCTACGATGGTAAACAAGCGTAAATCTCCGATATATTTCCCCGATATTACCCAGCGGGAGTTCTACTGCCTCGCCGAATTGTCATTGATAAATCTACGCGGCCAGCCGTAATGCTGTGTATAGCAGACTGTACGTCGTTCTCCTACGTACGCAATAGATCGCATTGTATTATATTGGGTTTATTACCAACCTTGCGCTGTATATATGTGTATAGCGACGAGGCTGTCAATATATTTATGACGCGCGTATGAGAGCGTGAGCAGCATTGATAGACTGCGTAAGGTGAGGGCCAACGAAGTCACCGAGTAGTCATATTGCCTTGTCTAGTGAAGTATCACTTACTCCATCAGTTACTCAAGCGCATACGCGGCCGTGTGCATTTCGCACACGCACCGCCGACAAAGAGTAGTGATATCCTTGGTAACGGATACACGGCGGGCAGACACACACACCGACGCGCGGCTGTTAGAATAAACCTCTACACTCGTCCTACAACATACACGGCCCTGTCTTGTAGCTAGGAGAATCCTAGGACGCACACATTGCTAGCTATGTGTACCTACCTACGCGCGCATCAATCCGTCTATATACACTCATCCTGCAATACGCACGGCACTGTCTTGTAGCTAGGACGCACACATTGCTAGCTATGTTTGCTAGCTATGTGTACCTACCTACGCGCGCATCAATCCGTCTATATACACTCATCTGCAATACCGCCCGGCGCTGTCTTGTAGCTGACGCACCATTGGTAGCTAATGTTTGGCTAGCTCTGTGTCGCTACCTACGCGCGCATGTCAATCGCGTCTATATACCCTCTTCGCTGCAATACGCACGGCACTGTCTTGTAGGCTAGGACGCCACATTGCTAGCTATGTTGCTAGCTATGTGTACCTACCTCGCGGCGCATCAATCCGTTAATATACACTCAATCTGCAATACGACCGGCAAGCTGTCTGTAGCTGGACGCACACATTGGCTAGCTATATGTGTACCTACCTACGTGCGTATCATCCGTCTATATCCCTGCTGTGGCTGTGACACGGCTCCTATACTGTATAACGCTGCCGCTCAGATAGCGGATAGTTTATCCCGAACGTGTGATGTGATGCTGTGTGCTAGCAATGCCGCGGCTAAGTGCCATCGACACCTGCCTCTGCCTTACAGAGCGCTACTCGGTAACAGCGAGAGTGTGAGTATCTACAGACGAAATCATGGCGACGATTGACGTCGCCGCACCGATGCTTAAGCGAGGTCGCGCACGAGCATGCCACCGCTGCTCTGTAAGGTGAAGACGTGCGCCACGGCCGTCCGTTCGGGGACCGCTGTTCGTGTCCGGATGTTGCGTACCGATGTTGTCGAATGTAGGCGAGTCTTCCGTGCGATACTGGTGAGCCGTCGTCAGTAGTATCGGTGGGGGCGGCACGTATAATCGTAATACGCAGGCAGCGCGCCGCGCACGCATGCACGCTCGCTAGCTACATACGCAGACTGCGAGCGCTAGCAGCGGAGGCTGCACAGTGAATGATGATGCGGGGATGTATGCTGGTAGTGCATCTGGCTTGCTGCCTGCTGGCTGTCGTGCTGCTGCTGCTCTGCTGGCTGGTTGATGCTTGCTGCTGATGATGATACTGCGTGGCTGCTGCTGCTGCTGATGATGATGATGATGGTACTGATGCTGCTGCTGCTTGCTGGTACTGATGTGGCTGCTGCTGCTGCTGCTGG